TGTAACTACTGAAAAAACTATCCACAACTCGTCATTCTCAGAGTCAACCACACACCAGGATTGTGTGATTCTCGCTGTCCTGTGCAGTGGCCACCACAATGTACCTCTATACTTTCCATCAGAAAGCAACCATCAACAGCCAACACCTTTCTCATGTTTACAAAACCCCTTATAGCAAAACCGTAAGCAACAAAAAAAATATTAAACATCATATTCCGTCCCACTTCAAAGCCGCCTTACTACCTGGTTTGTCAACTCAAGCATATAATGGTACGTTTTCTAATACTGCGTACCCGTGCTCCGGCGTGCCCCTCATAAAATCTTATGCATGTTGTCTCCCTTTCCAGCATTTCCGGTAACTAACAGCACATCCAACTCTGTGCGCACAAGTCTCTAAATGTCTTTAGGAGATGGACCTTTCCCTTCAACGAACCGACTTTTGACAAATTGTCTAATAACATCAGCGGACGCTTGTCGATGCTCACCTGAAATATGTCCCAACCACAAGTGTGCTCACAGGTATATGTGCTAAGAATAAATTTTTCCGACTCCGTCAACCTTCTACAATAAATCCGCCACTTGCACTTTCGATCACGACATGCAACCGTCACAGCCATGAATTTGACTTTTTGGTGATGAACTCAAAATTGCCTCTCACGGCAACAAGTTTTAGCTTCCTCAACACTTTCTCTTTGTTGACAAATAAATACCCTACGTGCAATTCCGATCCATCCGTAAAAACATGAGCTGATTCACTACTACCTCCAATGCCCTCTCTGAACCTGCATAAACGACCATGGTGTTCTCTTCCTCACAATCTACGCCTTCTGCATAATCTATATTTAAAGGAATCTCTACATCTGTGGGAACATCTACGGGGTCCTCCTCCTCAACATTTTCATTCTGCCCCTCATCACCACATCTTCTACAGGTGTCCTCCTCACCACCCAACTCACCATCTACTATTGATTTTTCAACTGACAAATCATAGCCTCACAGTTCAAATTAAAACCAGGCAAATCTCCGCCTACTTCCTCGTTATCCCCTTCCTTTGAACCAACTTCGAACGTTTTTCTACAAGAGAAACCCTTAAAATCGACCTCGAACCATTATCGGCCACATCAATCATATAACTTCACACTTTCATCCGACTTTAATATAGCAGAAAGTACCTTATAATGTTCAGGAACTCTGCTTAAATTACTTCACAACTATATCACTACGCGAGCAACTCAAATTACCTCTTCTAATTATTTCATCAATCAACTCATCAAAACTAACCTCTGTGCTCACAACAATTGGTATAACTTCTTTGGTCTTCCCAATCCACTTCTAGCTACGTTCTTCCTCCACCCACTCACTAAAATATTCAACACTCAAAACAACTTGTCCCATGTGTAATAATAGCCAACTACCTGTAATGCAAGAAAAAAAAATTCTAAATGCTGTACTAAGGGTTCAAATATTTTAAAAGAATTTGCACAGTCGCTTATATGGTCGCTGTATCGCTTAAGTGATGTTATGCCATTTATTGATCGCTTAAGCGATCTGCTCCTATACACCAGACTTTTACCAGATGCTTAAGCGATCTATCTGCTACAACCTGATCGATTAAGCGATCTTCTACTGCATTACCAGACCTACCAATCGCTTAAGCGATCCATCATACTCAGAACACATTTTCAGTCATCTCCACCTACAATCGATTCCATCATACCCAGAACACATACCCAGAACAAATTTTCAACAATTTCAATCCTTTCAACTTGCATTACATCAAACACAACCCAAAACCTAAACAACTAAATCAAAATCATAACCCAAACCCCATCCATTAAATATCTTTGTAAATCTAAATATAATGTAAAAGGAGATACACATACTTAGACAAAATGTCAGGAGGAGAAGAGGGGGATCTTTGGCGGAGAAGATGTTAATGGTGGAGGAAGCAGAAAGTTTTAATGGCGGAGGAAGAAGAAGATATAGAGGAATGAGGAAGAAGAAGATGCAGAGGAGAAGAAGATGTAGACGAAGCTAGAAGAAGAAAGAAGATGCAGAGGTAGAGATGCGTTAATGGCGGGAGGAAGAAGAAGGTGTTTGGGTTGTTTGCAACAATTTCGGTTTTGTGAGAATATAGTATAATTTTGAAAAGATTACATAATACTTCATTAATCCTAATTAAGCACTAATTACCCTTAATCAATAATGTGACTATTTAGTTAACACTTTAAAACTTGATAGCCTTTAATTAAATGTAAACTTCAGATGGCCTTTTAATAAACTGCCCCGTTATAATATATTGTTGAATTGAAACCAAACCGAATGATTTAAAAAAAAAAAAAAAAAAAAAAAACGAATTTTCAGACCGATTTCAGTTTGGTTTTTCAATTTGGTTTGATTTTTTTTTTTTTTTTTTCACCCTTACGTGACGTGGTAACTTAGAATTGGGCAAATAAATTCATTGTTGGAAACACATTGCGAGCTGTCATTGTAAGAAAAAATTTGAAAGATTTTATCATAAGTGTACTATTGCCCCAACTGGAAAAGCAATCCGATGAATGTATGTTTACAACCTAGGTAGAATTGGAATACACAGCAGTTGGTATCAAATGAGGCTAAGACCCAGTCATGAACTTGTAATAAAAGAAAAAGCGATAAAAATTCTAATAAATAAATGAAACAGAGATGATGTTGTCATTGAACCATCATAAGGACAAATCAGAATTTGTATTAATGTAATAATTTTTGGGCCAACTGATGCACCTCTAAATATCACGACTTGTAGAAATTTTACGCTCAAATTCAAATACCAAAATTTCAAGATCAAACCAAATGATAATTAAGTATTAGTATACCCATTCATACACTTCAATGAAACTTTTAATGTATAGTTAGAATTGAAAAAGCATCATTAGCTAGTCTACTGCACAATTGACACTCTAAATTATACAAAACATACAATAGTACAATATTATACCCACACAAAAAATCTCAGAATTGAGTTGAGTTGTTAAGATCTAGAGAAAACGTCCTTGGCACATAAACTCTTAGATATTAGTATCCAAACTACAATGGTTATAGGGTCTGATACTCTGATTAACTAACGAGAAAAACATACTTAAGAATTCCAATTTTTTTAGAGCTTGACAATGTACAAACATTAACTACCAATAGGGATGTAAAACTAACGCGGCCCAGGCCTAGAAAATAAGGCCTGGGATCATGGCCGATTGGACAATAGAACTTGCTGCAGAGCTAGAGGTTGTACCTTATACAAACTTTACCAAAATAACAACCGGAGTCATACTTTCGCATACGTTGTTGATGCTAATTTTAAGGACTTAAGCACAGCTCTTGATAGTGGGCATAGTTATTGGATAATCTTTCCTAATAATTTAGGACTAGAATTTCTTGTGCTTGGTTTATAAATACCTGGAATCACAGGGATTTTAAATAAAGTTCCCAGTAAAATTTTATGTATTGAGGATAATTTTGATAGATTCATCATGATTTTCCCTTTAAAAAATAAAAATAAAAAAATACAAGGCTTAGTAGAAACAACATAAAATAATTAAGATGCTCTTTATTTTTGTTTGATGTTTAAGCCTTGAAGGTAGACATTCTTTCATGGCCGGAGATGAAATAAGAGAAGGTGAAGGTGGTAAATCTTCCAAAGAGCACACTCTATTCAAATGAAACACATCATATACTTTGGCCAGACTTCACAGCATAATCATCAATAAATAGCCCTGCCCTTGCCAAATAGCTCTCATGGCACACAACACGAAATCTAACAACATCAATGACAAAAACAAAAATCACCTGGACTCTTAAGAGATGAATCTACTTCCATGATACCAAGTACATGCTCAAACTGCAACGTCAAATTCCATAAAAGACTTTAGCCTGAACATTCAATTGAGAAACTGAGCTGATAGAACTCAACTTTGACATGCACAATGAAGGTGCATTTAAATGCACCCAATTTCCACCAACATTTCTCAAAAAAATAAAATAAAATTTATGCACTCTTATGGCCTATAATTCAAAATAACTCAATTAATTATCCAGCATAGAATTCATAATTAGAATTATATTTCAGCTACACGAGTGAACAAAGAAAATTAAACGGATGGAGGCTAAGTACAGTAGGAAACTGGAATACAAAAACTTTTTCTGAAAGAAACAAACAGAAAACTGAAAGAAAACTCTGCATTATTTATTTGACTATATGTTCTCAGTAACCAGTTAACCACATAAAATCATATACCCTCCAAAGAGTAACATATCTCAAAGTTCTCACTGACATCTGAGTAGTATTATGAGACAAATTGTGAACTCCAAACGAAAGTAATTTAAACATATAAAGGTGTCAATGAGATACATCCTTCTAAAATACCTAAACTGCAATTAGCATTGGGAAAACTGTAGCACCAACAGAAATTTTAAACTAATATATGATATACAAAATTTTGAAAGGAAATCAAACCAAGATTACAGGATGTGTCTACTATGCATTGGTAACCTTTGAGCTTATACATAATATATTAGCAAAAGACCATTAAAACTCTTCATGAATTGTAGCACACACACACACACACACAAAAAAAAAAAAAAAAAAATGTATAACGAGCCTATTTAAAGGCTTAAGCACTTGTTTTGTTGAATTTCAAAAGTGCTTAATAGGATTTCAAATAAACTATTTTGCGGCTTATGGGAGATTGGACTTATTCAAAGGATTGAAATTTCAAAAACATCCTCATTATATTCTATATGAAAACCCATTTTCCTAACCAAGAATCTAACACATTTTCATAATAGCTATATTTTCATAAGCTCTACTCTAAGAAGTTCTTCCTCCATACCCTACTCGAATAAAGCGAGTCAGGCGGAGCCTTAAGTGTTCACGCAGAAAGATGCAATCCTTAAGAGGAAAAAGCAAAGCTCAAGATATTACATAGTGCATCCAGCTGTTCACATTCCAAAATCACACAACCTAATTAATTCTTGAATCAAAAGGGTATAAAAAATTAGAAATTAACCTAAGATGAAGATATAATAAACCATTGTTTCCAGTCACTAAACGAGATATATCAAAATCTTTAAGGTAAACAAGTCTCAACATAATCAAAAAACAATACCAATGTCCTAAACCAAAAAAAAATTACCAAAGTGACCCTAAGCAGTGAGCACCACCGCACCACCAGCCTCCTTAATCTTCTTCTCAGCAGTCTTTGATACCAGCTTGGCCTTGACGACGACAGGCTTATTCTCCGGCAAAACACCTTTTCCCAAAACCTTAAAGTATCCGAACTGAGTAACGTCAATCAATGGAACATTGTCTTTGCTAGTCTTGTCCTTAACATCTTGTGGAACCATGGACCAGAGCTTGTCGATGTTGACAATGGGGCAATAGAACTTGTTGCGGAGCTTGTGGAAGTACCTCATACCGACTTTACCAAAATACCCTGGGTGGTACTTGTCGAAGAGGATCCTGTGGTGGTGCATGCCTCCAGCGTTCCCGCGACCTCCGGGGTGTTTTCTGTGTTTCCCAATTCGACCGTGGCCAGCGCTCACGTGGCCCCTCTTCTTGCGGTTCTTCTTGAATCGGGTCGTCATTTTCTGGGAAATCGGAGAACGTGAGTGTTGTTTCGAAAGCAGAGAGCGGAAGAAGAAGGAGGATGACTGAATGAGCAATTATATGTGGTGGTGCGGCTAGGGTTTTGGAGACTGGCGGGTTTGTGGGTATTAGTGGGCTTTCAACTTGATCTCAACTTGGGCCTGTAACGTGTGTGTGGGCCGTAGACATATTCACTCTTTAATTGCAGTCTAGAAGAAATACTCTAATTCACGGAGTTTTTTTTCTAACAAAAATTTCTTCTCCTATTTTTTAGAGAGAATATTTAATCCAAAATAATCTTTCTATAACATATTACTAATTAATGTTTAAGTTTTGATTAAAACATTCTTCATACATTAAAAAAAAGATATTATCAGCTAGAGATCATTTTTTCATTAATTTTTGAAACATTATATAAATTTTATTTGTATTTTTTAGTTGTATCTTAATATTTTTAAAGTTGAAAATGTGTTTGACATAAAATTTCAAAAAAATAAAAATTGAGATTAAAAGCAGTAGAAAACAACTTTTAGTATTTTTTTTATTTTATACTAACTTTTAGGATTGTATCTAAAAATTGTTTTTGAAAACAATTCTATTCATTTTTACCAAACATATTTTCATAAGATTTGTTGTATTTCTCATTAAAAAAAAAAAAAAACTGTTTTTTAAATTCTATATCAAACGGGTCATAAAATACATTGAAAAACCTAAAAAATTAGGTTAGATTCACAAAAATTGCTAGCTTTATTATATTTTAAAATTATTTAACTACTTCAGTTTAATTTTTTTTTTCTAATTATAATTTTTTTTAAAATTATAATAATGGTCATACTTGAAATTATATTTTCTTTAACAGTCGTTCAATAAAAACATCAACTAGTAGTAGTTAGTGTTTAGAACTGTCAATGTATTTCAAAGTACCTTTCCAATAAATTTAAGAAAACAGTATCACCAAGTGATAAAACCCATAACAAAATACTGTATATAAAATACAGTATCAAAATACTTATCACCACATTAAACAACCAATTTCATCACTAATCACATATTATTATGTAAAATAATTTTAAACATTGGCTGAACTTGATAATTCAGGGTATTTTTAATTCAATGTTTTACGATTGGGGTTATTGAAAGTTATTGCTTTGTGTTATATAACGCCATTCATTACTTTTTGTGTTTTTATCTTCACAAAAGAAAGAATTTATTTAGGAAGAAAAAAATTCATATATATATATATATAACTTTACTTCTTTCTTAAAACAAAAACTTCAATTTCAAAAGAAGATTTTTATTACAAAATTGCAAAAGAATAATTAGTATTGACATATTTGAGACATATCGTTCAATAAGAGTAAAATATAAGTGATAATTTGAAGAGATTTATGACTTATCGAGATGATAAATTTTTATATTTGGTGATGAAAATGAAGGTAAAATAAGAAAAAAAAAAAGATAAGACGCCTTGTTTTGAGAGATCCCAAAACTTTGACCATTCTTTTTTTGACCCCAGAATGTGGGTAATTTATCAATAATTATATTCAACAATGACCACATTTATAATTTGAGAATTTGAAACACTTTATTGCAACTTACAAGAAAATCTGATCAATTTTAGACGTGATAATACCCAAAAAAATGTTCTCTCGTATACATTCCAAAGATGATCAAATTTTAGAAAACTTGATGTATTCCAAGGGTGATCAAATTTTGGAAAACCTGATGTCTAAAACACAGTAATTAACTTTGAGAAGCAATCAAGAATGTTTACTCTCTAGTCTCTATTGAATTTTTGGATTCAAACTTTGTAACCATCTACTACATTGTAACTTACATAATTTTTTGAACTTATAAGATATTTAATAAACCCCAAGTATTAGTTAAAATACGTACAAATTGACCTACACCCGGTTAAAATAATAATAATAATAAAAAACATTGAGGAATGAGGACCACGGCAGGCAACGCCTTTGTGATTAATAAGTCCAATGACTAATGAATTCCGAAGTTCTGATTCTCCTTACAATTAGATGGTATCAAATTCAATTGCATCAATTGGAATTATCAGGACAACAGGAAAACAAATTATAATCAAGAAGTAAGCCATCAATGTTCTATATTTTCATGCTGACGTGGTAGAACTAAATATGAAATACACATCCATGCTTCATACATACATATACATTGCTTCAAGATACAAATACAGAGAATTCACAATAACACTGAAAGAATATTACATGAACACAACAGCAACTTTAAATAATCAAATGAAGACATTACTCAACAATTACAATATGATTCATCTTTGAATAAGCAGCGCAGCTCCCACCAAGCCAAACCACAATGTCAAAGCTATCCAAAATGCACGGGTTTTCTCCAATCCTGCAGGAGGTCGCCACACCAAAAAGTCTCCTAGAAAGTCTCTGGATGATGGAAGCTGGTTGGTTGTTGAACCACTTCTTTCATCCCTGTCCTTGTTTTTGTCAGTCCATGTTGCTGCATAACTGCAATAAGCACATAAAAAATCCAGAAACCATTAAGATATTTGATTGAAAAAAAGCCGCTCATGCAAGATTTGAAGTGTGGAGAATGTTGTGGTGTATCCATGTATTTCTAGAGGCTTTAACATATGGAATACAAACAATTAAATTAAGACTAGGCACAAAGAAATGAAAGTGCACAGCATCGAACTATGAAATACTGGATTCAAAACTACAATAGTCAAGACAATAATAATAGGTTATTGTTTCAGAACTTAACATTACAAGTATATCAAACACTCTGTTTTCAATATCCGAGTCTGACCTAGATAACTATAGATGTCAGCTTACACTGTAATAGAACTATTTACAAGAGTTGCGTGCATTATGGGTAGATAAACATGAGACTATTCCAAAATGGCACCAAAAATAAATGGAAATAACAATATTAGGGGGGCTTTCAGCTATAAACATATCCTATCATTTCTTGTGGCTATGGTAGTGCAATATCACTAAATTCAATCCGTTAGTTGGGGTCATTTACATCAAAAGCCTAGAGCCCATAGGTGCGTAAAGACTATACATTATGTTAAAGGGTATAAAGCAATACCCTCAAGTATGAGGGAAGTGAATGTGGCCAAGTTCCTAAGTAGAATAATTATAACGTTAAGTTTAGAACACTTCATGGATAATTGACAATATAGTTGAGGATGAAGTGAAAACCCCAACTGTATGGAGGAAATGAGTATATTCATTCTTCAGAAACTGATAGTTACCAAAAAGAGTTTCTATAAGTAGCTTTCTCTAAGCAATCAAGTTATAAACACAGATAACCACCACAAAGACAGAAAGCAAGTAATGGGCACAATAGCATCACATAAAAAGAATTTAGTCTAGACAAAGTCAACTAGACTATGCATATATGTGAAGGTAGCCTATAGAAAGACATTCAAGGTAAGCAAGGTATTAATTAGGGCAGCACCACTCTGACCTAACTAAAGTATCCATAAGCTTCAGTGGGCAGAGAACAACAAATAATCAATTGGTCGTTTTTAATGTTTGGCTCCCCTTCTGGTTCAAGGTACTGAAGTCAATCAACTAGGGGCAGAAAATTTAGCAGTTGAAAAGTTTATAAGGAAACTAGAGTACAACATACACTTCTGTAAGAAAACAAACGGGCTTCGGAAACAGGTAATCCATATCGCTAATGCTAATCATATGTGTTTTATATTGATAATCTAACCAATTGCAAAACAACATTCGAAAAGATTATGGTACCAAGTTAATTACCTGTCATAACTAGAACCAATAAGTGGAATAGTAACCATCTCCTCCTGAGATATCTTGAGTTTAGGCGCTTGTAAGATGTATCTAAGATCTGCAGCTTGGCGGCGAATGCTGACACTGGGGTGCTTCTTCTCCAATTGCTGGTAAAGAGCAATGCAATCTGCGTGGCGGTTATTTGCCTCGTAAGCCATTGCAAGCCATATTTGAATCTGAAATTACCCAAATCAAAAGTTTCCCTGTTAATTCTGTTATCTAAATTTTCCGATGAACACAATAACTTGCCAATAATTTAAGATACTTATCGGGTATCAACCAACCTCACCGCCAAACAATGTGGGTCTAGGAATAATAGTGAGAGCACCTTCAAGAAACTCAATGGCTCGTCCATACATGCCCTTACCATAAGCCTTTTGTCCCAACTCGAACATCAATTGTGCTGTGGCTCTCCTCTCTGCCTGCTCCTTAGCCACCTGATCTCACAAACCAAAAAAAATCAATAAGTGATGATGATTAAAGTTGTAAATTTATAACGTAAAAATAACGAACTAACCTTTTCGAGTTCTTTTCTGACTCTCATCTTCTTCTCTTCCTCAGTCTCTTCTTTAGCTTCAGCTTCAATATCATCCTCCACTTTACTCTGTATTTCCTCAGCTTTCTTTTCTAACTCCCTCATCTCTTCAATCTCCTCCACTCTCTTTCTCATCTCCTTCTCCCAATCATACTCCTCCTCGTCACCATTTCCGTTTTCTTCGTCACTCGACCCTGCATCGAAATCCACACCATTCACCTTCGAATTCGACTTTCCACGTGTCACTACCCGGTGATTCCGACTCTCGCCCTCCGAGTCAAAGATCTTGTTCGTTAAAGCAGAGTAGTAAACGTGAAGGTCCCTCTTTGGTAGGTTCAAAACGACGTCGGCTGCCACCGGACGAGACTTCCGGTCCGTTATTATTGTCCGTGCCGAGGTCACGTCCAATAACAGCGCTAAATTTCCGAGAACCACCGCCATAGGAACAGTCAAGAGGGAGAGAAATCGGTGGAGTGAGATATGAATTTCAACTGACAAGGATCACTAGTGAAGATATTTAGATGCTGATTTGGTGTATAAGGACTAAAGTGTCCTCACTGTAAGTTGATATTAAATTATTAATCCTATAAGTTTTGAAAAGAGTGAGGGTAAACTCGTCTGAATAATTGTGAACGTGGCACTATTTAGACGAGTGTCGTGTTTAGAGACTGAAGTCTGTGGCAGTCCTCACGGAAGCAGTAACTTGATTTTATCAAACACGTCACAGCCAATGCAATATCTCACATCTAGCACGACGTCGTTTCGTAAGCCGAATTTGTGATCTAGCGGTGGGAAATCAAACACAACGAGCCTTGTTCTCTTCACAATCACCACCAGAAACAGCGGAAATGGAAATGTTTTTCTAACACGCATGCGCGTGCCCCACGCGCCCCCACTCGCCACAGGTTGCCACTCTATGGGTCCCTCTCTCTTGGAGCTTCTCTAAAAACTCTGCTCATTTTCTCTGCAGAGCTTTGCTTTATCGGTTACCATCTGTTTCCATGGCTCTATCGCTCTGTCACGTACCACCTGGCGTGTTCTCTTCATTTCACCACAAACAAACATTTTTCATTCAGCATCGCCGCAACAATCTCCGATGCTCGTTAGATAACAAACTCCGATTTTCTCCTTACTCTAAACGACACTATCTCGTCTCTCCTGTAAAATCCTCTTCAATTAACGGATTCTCTGTAGAGAAGAGCAGTGTAAAACCATTTGATAGAGAAGGAAATGTTGAATTTAATGAAAGGATTCGAAAATGGATTCATATCATTCAATCAGTTCTTCCCGGAGGAAGTTGGTGGAGCTTCAGTGATGACATCGAGCTTAAACTGATGGCGAAACCGGTGACTGTGTGGCGTGCGCTTAGTAAGATGTGGGAGTTAGTCTCGAAGGACCGTTGGGTTATTTATGCTGCCTTTTCTGCTTTAATTGTAGCGGCGGTGCGTGCGTTTTATTGGGAGAGAAGAGGCTATTTTGGAGTGACTTTTTCATTGCCTTCACTAATTAATTTGTATAAATGTTGCAGCTTTCGGAGATTTGCATACCACATTTTTTGACGGCATCAATCTTCACCGCACAGAGTGGTGACATCGCAGTGTTCCACCGCAACGTTCGTTTGTTGATTCTGTTATGTGTCACTTCTGGAATATGCAGGTTAAAATCTTGTATGGTCAATTCTCTCCTCCTTTACATTGCAAACTATGGCACGGCCCTATTTCTGCATCGGAGATGGGTTGTTCACACAATGTGGAAATACCCCGTTCTCTATTTTATTTATTTATTTATTTTTATAATGCGCATATGTCGAAAAGTAACTTAGTTTTCTTACAATTGTTCTGTCAATCACGAGTTGCGGAGGTTAAAATATAAAATAATAAAATATAGGTTGAGCAATATTTTGAACTTCTACTTCATATGGACTTTCCTATGCATTAGTTTATTGAACTGCTGATTCTGTGCTCTGTTTATCTGAACTTCAGCGGTCTCCGAGGGTGCTGTTTTGGCATTGCAAATATGATCCTAGTAAGTCTTATCAAATGATTTGTTTTTCACTTGTATTATTTTTTTGGTTGAAAAATTCATGGATGGTAGAGTCCTGTTTGATGATATAAAATTGTCTTACTTGCTTTGGAGGATTGTGTCTTAGGATAGACATAACCTTTCTTGAATTATGAGTTTATATTAAAGTTGTTGGGGTTTTCAATCATCCAAGAGGTGATCAAGTTGGGAATGCCTTTCTGGTTCCTTGCAGTGCAATACAATGGGGGACCAGTTTTTGTTAGAATGATTTTTTCCCATTTATCCAGTTTTCCATTTTTTGAAGGAACCATTGTTACGACTTTTTGTGGTCAATAGAGTATGACTTCAATACTGATTGAGTTCCTGTAACATTTTACAGGTGAAGCGAATGAGAGAAACATTATATTCTGCTCTTGTTTCTCAGGTTCTGAAACAATACACATTTGAATTTTGATAAAAATTTCTTGCCATTTGCATCTAAGCAAGATATAACTGTTTCCATATGTGCTTATGTAGACTACTTACTTTTATTGTCACGTCTGTTGTAGGATATATCCTTTTTTGACTCTGAGACAGTTGGTGACTTGACAAGTAGGCTTGGGTCAGACTGTCAGCAGGTTTCACGAGTTATTGGAAATGATCTCAATCTAATATTACGCAATGTTCTTCAGGTCTTTTCCCTCATCAATTGTTCACACTTCTGAGTTTGCTTAAAATATGATAATATAGTTTGTGCTAATGTTGTTCCTTTTCAGGGAGGAGGGGCATTGATCTACTTGCTTGTTTTGTCACGGCCACTTGGCTTATGCACATTGGTAATATGCTCGACTTTAGCAGGAGTGATGCTGATCTATGGCATGTAAGGTTTTACAGTTTATCAGTTTTTCCTCTTAAAATTTCTGGCTGCCTTCCTGAAAGTACATGAAGTAAAATGTATTTAATTGTAAGGGGATACATGGCAAGTCAACAAAGATAATGTGGAGATGTGTGTGTGCTTTAAGGTCAGTGACTTGTTCATTTGGATGAGATATGGTCAAGCAATTGAGTTTTCAAGAACTAGAAAGGCCTGAAAGTGAGTTAAAGTTATTGAGAGGAACCCCATGCCTTATGACCTCACAGAAAATACTTTCTTGCACTTTCTGAGATTACTTACAATGCACATTTCTTTTTTATGTTTAAGCATTCCGGTGAATTGTAATATGAACTACTTCTTTCTACTCTGTAGTACTGTTTCTTATCACTTCAACTATGTCCTGTATAGGTACCAGAAGAAGGCAGCAAAGTTAACACAAGAATTCACTGCTTCTGCCAATGAAGTAGAACAAGAAACATGATCTATAGCTTTTGTAAGAGATTCTGTTGTCAAATGCTTGCTATAATTAAAGATGGTACTAATTTTTTGTGTAGGTGGCACAAGAGACATTTTCTTTGATGAGAACTGTTCGTGTCTATGGAACAGAGAAGCTGGAGCTTGGAAGGTAATCTGTTCTTGTAGAAACTTGTCTTTTAAATCATCTTGTATTTGCACTTTACTTTTGCATGCACAATCCTTAACAAAAGGTAAATGTATGTGAACAGGTGCATATGTTTGTTATAAGTGGTTCTGACATAAAGACGTTTACATCTACGGTTGATAGGTACAAGCAGTGGCTAGATAAATTGGCTGGCATAAGTTTGCGACAGAGTGCTGCATATGGGTTCTGGAACCTGAGCTTCAATATGCTTTATCACTCAACTCAGGTTTATCTCTGTCATTGGTTTCAAGATTTTAAAGTGTTCACTATTTAAAGATATTTCCCTCATGCTCAACAATTACCAACTGCTGCATGAAAGTGCTTTTCAAATATTTGACATATTTTGAAGAAGTGATATTTGGCTCTAAATAACATTTTTTATGCTGGTAATACGTTGCGTTATGTATACTTGACCAGGCCCTGAATCCTGTGTACTTAACCTCAAGCTTGATAGAGTTCTAACATACACTCTTGTTATGACTTTTTAATGAATTCTAGCAAATTTTCAAAAAGACATGCATCCATCTTTAACTTAATATAATCACATATGAGGATGTCATATCTTATAGGAGCTTAGGTGCATACTTCCTAACTCCATTTCTGAGGGTCTGAAATACAAACCAAAAAAATCAATAGTGTGATGATTAAAGTTGTAAATTTATAACGTAAAAATAACGAACTAACCTTTTCGAGTTCTTTTCTGACTCTCATCTTCTTCTCTCCTCAGTCTCTTCTTTAGCTTCAGCTTCAATATCATCCTCCACTTTACTCTGTATTTCCTCAGCTTTCTTTTCTAACTCCCTCATCTCTTCAATCTCCTTCACTCTCTTTCTCATCTCCTTCTCCAATCATACTCTCCCTCGTCACCATTTCCGTTTTCTTCGCCACTCGACCCTGCATCGAAATCCACACCATTCACCTTCGAATTCGACTTCCCACGTGTCACTACCCTGTATTCCGACTCTCGCCCTCCGAGTCAAAGATCTTGTTCGTTAAAGCAGAGTAGTAAACGTGAAGGTCCCTCTTTGGTAGTTTCAAAACGACGTCGGCTGCCACCGACGAGACTTCCGGTCCGTTTTATTGTCCGTGCCGAGGTCACGTCCAATACAGCGCTATATTTCCGAGAACCACCGCCATAGGAACAGTCAAGAGGGAGAGAAATCGGTGGAGTGAGATATATTTCAACTACAAATCACTAGTGAAGATATTTGATGCTGATTTGGTGTATAAGGACTAAGTGTCCTCACTGTAAGTTGATATTAAATTTTAATCCTATAAGTTTTGAAAAGATGAGGGTAAACTCGTCTGAATATTGTGAACGTGGCACTATTTAGACGAGTGTCGTGTTTAGAGACTGAAGTCTGTGGCAGTCCTCACGGAAGCAGTAACTTGATTTTATCAAACACGTCACGCCAATGCAATATCTCACATCTAGCACGACGTCGTTTCGTAAGCCGAATTTTTATCTAGCGTGGGAAATCAAACACAACGAGCCTTGTTCTCTTCACAATCACCACCAGAAACAGCGAAATGGAAATGTTTTTCTAACAGCATGCGCGTGCCCCACGCGCCCCCACTCGCCACAGGTTGCCACTCTATGGGTCCCTCTCTCTTGGAGCTTCTCTAAACCTCTGCTCATTTTCTCTGCAGAGCTTTGCTTATCGGTTACCATCTGTTTCCATGGCTCTATCGCTCTGTCACGTACCACCTGGCGTGTTCTCTTCATTTCACCACAAACAAACTTTTTCATTCACCATCGCCGCAACAATCTCCGTGTGCTCGTTAGATAACAAACTCCGATTTTCTCCTTACTCTAAACGACCCTATCTCGTCTCTCCTGTAAAATCCTCTTCAATTAACGGATTCTCTGTAGAGAAGAGCAGTGTAAAACCATTTGATAGAGAAGGAAATGTTGAATTTAATGAAAGGATTCGAAAATGGATTCATATCATTCAATCATTCTTCCCGGAGGAAGTTGGTGGAGCTTCAGTGATGACATCGAGCTAAACTATGGCGAAACCGGTGACTGTGTGGCGTGCGCTTAGTAAATGTGGGAGTTATTCTCGAAGGACCGTTGGGTTATTTATGCTGCCTTTTCTGCTTTATGTAGCGGCGGTGCTTGCGTTTTATTGGGAGAGAAGAGGCTATTTTGCAGTGACTTTTTCATTGCCTTCACTAATTAATTTGTATAAATGTTGCAGCTTTCGAGATTTGCATACCACATTTTTTGACGGCATCAATCTTCACCGCACAGAGTGGTGACATCGCAGTGTTCCCGCAACGTTCGTTTGTTGATTCTGTTATGTGTCACTTCTGGAATAGAGAAGCAATCAAGAATGTTTACTCTCTAGTCTCTATTGAATTTTTGGATTCAAACTTTGTAACCATCTACTACATTGTAACTTACATAATTTTTTGAACTTATAAGATATTTAATAAACCCCAAGTATTAGTTAAAATACGTACAAATTGACCTACACCCGGTTAAAATAATAATAATAATAAAAAACATTGAGGAATGAGGACCACGGCAGGCAACGCCTTTGTGATTAATAAGTCCAATGACTAATGAATTCCGAAGTTCTGATTCTCCTTACAATTAGATGGTATCAAATTCAATTGCATCAATTGGAATTATCAGGACAACAGGAAAACAAATTATAATCAAGAAGTAAGCCATCAATGTTCTATATTTTCATGCTGACGTGGTAGAACTAAATATGAAATACACATCCATGCTTCATACATACATATACATTGCTTCAAGATACAAATACAGAGAATTCACAATAACACTGAAAGAATATTACATGAACACAACAGCAACTTTAAATAATCAAATGAAGACATTACTCAACAATTACAATATGATTCATCTTTGAATAAGCAGCGCAGCTCCCACCAAGCCAAACCACAATGTCAAAGCTATCCAAAATGCACGGGTTTTCTCCAATCCTGCAGGAGGTCGCCACACCAAAAAGTCTCCTAGAAAGTCTCTGGATGATGGAAGCTGGTTGGTTGTTGAACCACTTCTTTCATCCCTGTCCTTGTTTTTGTCAGTCCATGTTGCTGCATAACTGCAATAAGCACATAAAAAATCCAGAAACCATTAAGATATTTGATTGAAAAAAAGCCGCTCATGCAAGATTTGAAGTGTGGAGAATGTTGTGGTGTATCCATGTATTTCTAGAGGCTTTAACATATGGAATACAAACAATTAAATTAAGACTAGGCACAAAGAAATGAAAGTGCACAGCATCGAACTATGAAATACTGGATTCAAAACTACAATAGTCAAGACAATAATAATAGGTTATTGTTTCAGAACTTAACATTACAAGTATATCAAACACTCTGTTTTCAATATCCGAGTCTGACCTAGATAACTATAGATGTCAGCTTACACTGTAATAGAACTATTTACAAGAGTTGCGTGCATTATGGGTAGATAAACATGAGACTATTCCAAAATGGCACCAAAAATAAATGGAAATAACAATATTAGGGGGGCTTTCAGCTATAAACATATCCTATCATTTCTTGTGGCTATGGTAGTGCAATATCACTAAATTCAATCCGTTAGTTGGGGTCATTTACATCAAAAGCCTAGAGCCCATAGGTGCGTAAAGACTATACATTATGTTAAAGGGTATAAAGCAATACCCTCAAGTATGAGGGAAGTGAATGTGGCCAAGTTCCTAAGTAGAATAATTATAACGTTAAGTTTAGAACACTTCATGGATAATTGACAATATAGTTGAGGATGAAGTGAAAACCCCAACTGTATGGAGGAAATGAGTATATTCATTCTTCAGAAACTGATAGTTACCAAAAAGAGTTTCTATAAGTAGCTTTCTCTAAGCAATCAAGTTATAAACACAGATAACCACCACAAAGACAGAAAGCAAGTAATGGGCACAATAGCATCACATAAAAAGAATTTAGTCTAGACAAAGTCAACTAGACTATGCATATATGTGAAGGTAGCCTATAGAAAGACATTCAAGGTAAGCAAGGTATTAATTAGGGCAGCACCACTCTGACCTAACTAAAGTATCCATAAGCTTCAGTGGGCAGAGAACAACAAATAATCAATTGGTCGTTTTTAATGTTTGGCTCCCCTTCTGGTTCAAGGTACTGAAGTCAATCAACTAGGGGCAGAAAATTTAGCAGTTGAAAAGTTTATAAGGAAACTAGAGTACAACATACACTTCTGTAAGAAAACAAACGGGCTTCGGAAACAGGTAATCCATATCGCTAATGCTAATCATATGTGTTTTATATTGATAATCTAACCAATTGCAAAACAACATTCGAAAAGATTATGGTACCAAGTTAATTACCTGTCATAACTAGAACCAATAAGTGGAATAGTAACCATCTCCTCCTGAGATATCTTGAGTTTAGGCGCTTGTAAGATGTATCTAAGATCTGCAGCTTGGCGGCGAATGCTGACACTGGGGTGCTTCTTCTCCAATTGCTGGTAAAGAGCAATGCAATCTGCGTGGCGGTTATTTGCCTCGTAAGCCATTGCAAGCCATATTTGAATCTGAAATTACCCAAATCAAAAGTTTCCCTGTTAATTCTGTTATCTAAATTTTCCGATGAACACAATAACTTGCCAATAATTTAAGATACTTATCGGGTATCAACCAACCTCACCGCCAAACAATGTGGGTCTAGGAATAATAGTGAGAGCACCTTCAAGAAACTCAATGGCTCGTCCATACATGCCCTTACCATAAGCCTTTTGTCCCAACTCGAACATCAATTGTGCTGTGGCTCTCCTCTCTGCCTGCTCCTTAGCCACCTGATCTCACAAACCAAAAAAAATCAATAAGTGATGATGATTAAAGTTGTAAATTTATAACGTAAAAATAACGAACTAACCTTTTCGAGTTCTTTTCTGACTCTCATCTTCTTCTCTTCCTCAGTCTCTTCTTTAGCTTCAGCTTCAATATCATCCTCCACTTTACTCTGTATTTCCTCAGCTTTCTTTTCTAACTCCCTCATCTCTTCAATCTCCTCCACTCTCTTTCTCATCTCCTTCTCCCAATCATACTCCTCCTCGTCACCATTTCCGTTTTCTTCGTCACTCGACCCTGCATCGAAATCCACACCATTCACCTTCGAATTCGACTTTCCACGTGTCACTACCCGGTGATTCCGACTCTCGCCCTCCGAGTCAAAGATCTTGTTCGTTAAAGCAGAGTAGTAAACGTGAAGGTCCCTCTTTGGTAGGTTCAAAACGACGTCGGCTGCCACCGGACGAGACTTCCGGTCCGTTATTATTGTCCGTGCCGAGGTCACGTCCAATAACAGCGCTAAATTTCCGAGAACCACCGCCATAGGAACAGTCAAGAGGGAGAGAAATCGGTGGAGTGAGATATGAATTTCAACTGACAAGGATCACTAGTGAAGATATTTAGATGCTGATTTGGTGTATAAGGACTAAAGTGTCCTCACTGTAAGTTGATATTAAATTATTAATCCTATAAGTTTTGAAAAGAGTGAGGGTAAACTCGTCTGAATAATTGTGAACGTGGCACTATTTAGACGAGTGTCGTGTTTAGAGACTGAAGTCTGTGGCAGTCCTCACGGAAGCAGTAACTTGATTTTATCAAACACGTCACAGCCAATGCAATATCTCACATCTAGCACGACGTCGTTTCGTAAGCCGAATTTGTGATCTAGCGGTGGGAAATCAAACACAACGAGCCTTGTTCTCTTCACAATCACCACCAGAAACAGCGGAAATGGAAATGTTTTTCTAACACGCATGCGCGTGCCCCACGCGCCCCCACTCGCCACAGGTTGCCACTCTATGGGTCCCTCTCTCTTGGAGCTTCTCTAAAAACTCTGCTCATTTTCTCTGCAGAGCTTTGCTTTATCGGTTACCATCTGTTTCCATGGCTCTATCGCTCTGTCACGTACCACCTGGCGTGTTCTCTTCATTTCACCACAAACAAACATTTTTCATTCAGCATCGCCGCAACAATCTCCGATGCTCGTTAGATAACAAACTCCGATTTTCTCCTTACTCTAAACGACACTATCTCGTCTCTCCTGTAAAATCCTCTTCAATTAACGGATTCTCTGTAGAGAAGAGCAGTGTAAAACCATTTGATAGAGAAGGAAATGTTGAATTTAATGAAAGGATTCGAAAATGGATTCATATCATTCAATCAGTTCTTCCCGGAGGAAGTTGGTGGAGCTTCAGTGATGACATCGAGCTTAAACTGATGGCGAAACCGGTGACTGTGTGGCGTGCGCTTAGTAAGATGTGGGAGTTAGTCTCGAAGGACCGTTGGGTTATTTATGCTGCCTTTTCTGCTTTAATTGTAGCGGCGGTGCGTGCGTTTTATTGGGAGAGAAGAGGCTATTTTGGAGTGACTTTTTCATTGCCTTCACTAATTAATTTGTATAAATGTTGCAGCTTTCGGAGATTTGCATACCACATTTTTTGACGGCATCAATCTTCACCGCACAGAGTGGTGACATCGCAGTGTTCCACCGCAACGTTCGTTTGTTGATTCTGTTATGTGTCACTTCTGGAATATGCAGGTTAAAATCTTGTATGGTCAATTCTCTCCTCCTTTACATTGCAAACTATGGCACGGCCCTATTTCTGCATCGGAGATGGGTTGTTCACACAATGTGGAAATACCCCGTTCTCTATTTTATTTATTTATTTATTTTTATAATGCGCATATGTCGAAAAGTAACTTAGTTTTCTTACAATTGTTCTGTCAATCACGAGTTGCGGAGGTTAAAATATAAAATAATAAAATATAGGTTGAGCAATATTTTGAACTTCTACTTCATATGGACTTTCCTATGCATTAGTTTATTGAACTGCTGATTCTGTGCTCTGTTTATCTGAACTTCAGCGGTCTCCGAGGGTGCTGTTTTGGCATTGCAAATATGATCCTAGTAAGTCTTATCAAATGATTTGTTTTTCACTTGTATTATTTTTTTGGTTGAAAAATTCATGGATGGTAGAGTCCTGTTTGATGATATAAAATTGTCTTACTTGCTTTGGAGGATTGTGTCTTAGGATAGACATAACCTTTCTTGAATTATGAGTTTATATTAAAGTTGTTGGGGTTTTCAATCATCCAAGAGGTGATCAAGTTGGGAATGCCTTTCTGGTTCCTTGCAGTGCAATACAATGGGGGACCAGTTTTTGTTAGAATGATTTTTTCCCATTTATCCAGTTTTCCATTTTTTGAAGGAACCATTGTTACGACTTTTTGTGGTCAATAGAGTATGACTTCAATACTGATTGAGTTCCTGTAACATTTTACAGGTGAAGCGAATGAGAGAAACATTATATTCTGCTCTTGTTTCTCAGGTTCTGAAACAATACACATTTGAATTTTGATAAAAATTTCTTGCCATTTGCATCTAAGCAAGATATAACTGTTTCCATATGTGCTTATGTAGACTACTTACTTTTATTGTCACGTCTGTTGTAGGATATATCCTTTTTTGACTCTGAGACAGTTGGTGACTTGACAAGTAGGCTTGGGTCAGACTGTCAGCAGGTTTCACGAGTTATTGGAAATGATCTCAATCTAATATTACGCAATGTTCTTCAGGTCTTTTCCCTCATCAATTGTTCACACTTCTGAGTTTGCTTAAAATATGATAATATAGTTTGTGCTAATGTTGTTCCTTTTCAGGGAGGAGGGGCATTGATCTACTTGCTTGTTTTGTCACGGCCACTTGGCTTATGCACATTGGTAATATGCTCGACTTTAGCAGGAGTGATGCTGATCTATGGCATGTAAGGTTTTACAGTTTATCAGTTTTTCCTCTTAAAATTTCTGGCTGCCTTCCTGAAAGTACATGAAGTAAAATGTATTTAATTGTAAGGGGATACATGGCAAGTCAACAAAGATAATGTGGAGATGTGTGTGTGCTTTAAGGTCAGTGACTTGTTCATTTGGATGAGATATGGTCAAGCAATTGAGTTTTCAAGAACTAGAAAGGCCTGAAAGTGAGTTAAAGTTATTGAGAGGAACCCCATGCCTTATGACCTCACAGAAAATACTTTCTTGCACTTTCTGAGATTACTTACAATGCACATTTCTTTTTTATGTTTAAGCATTCCGGTGAATTGTAATATGAACTACTTCTTTCTACTCTGTAGTACTGTTTCTTATCACTTCAACTATGTCCTGTATAGGTACCAGAAGAAGGCAGCAAAGTTAACACAAGAATTCACTGCTTCTGCCAATGAAGTAGAACAAGAAACATGATCTATAGCTTTTGTAAGAGATTCTGTTGTCAAATGCTTGCTATAATTAAAGATGGTACTAATTTTTTGTGTAGGTGGCACAAGAGACATTTTCTTTGATGAGAACTGTTCGTGTCTATGGAACAGAGAAGCTGGAGCTTGGAAGGTAATCTGTTCTTGTAGAAACTTGTCTTTTAAATCATCTTGTATTTGCACTTTACTTTTGCATGCACAATCCTTAACAAAAGGTAAATGTATGTGAACAGGTGCATATGTTTGTTATAAGTGGTTCTGACATAAAGACGTTTACATCTACGGTTGATAGGTACAAGCAGTGGCTAGATAAATTGGCTGGCATAAGTTTGCGACAGAGTGCTGCATATGGGTTCTGGAACCTGAGCTTCAATATGCTTTATCACTCAACTCAGGTTTATCTCTGTCATTGGTTTCAAGATTTTAAAGTGTTCACTATTTAAAGATATTTCCCTCATGCTCAACAATTACCAACTGCTGCATGAAAGTGCTTTTCAAATATTTGACATATTTTGAAGAAGTGATATTTGGCTCTAAATAACATTTTTTATGCTGGTAATACATTGCGTTATGTATACTTGACCAGGCCCTGAATCCTGTGTACTTAACCTCAAGCTTGATAGAGTTCTAACATACACTCTTGTTATGACTTGTTAATGAATTCTAGCAAATTTTCAAAAAGACATGCATCCATCTTTAACTTAATATAATCACATATGAGGATGTCATATCTTATAGGAGCTTAGGTGCATACTTCCTAACTCCATTTCTGAGGGTCTGAAATACTAGGGGTGTGCAAAACCGGATATCCGATCTGGTTGGCCTTTATTTTGATCCGATCCAAATATTCGGATCAGCCAAGAAACCAATCTGAATCTGATCCGGTTTTGATCCGAACCGAATTTTCGGATCGGATAAACCGGATATCCGGTTTTAATCCGAATTTCAAAACAACATTACAACAAGAACTTTATTTGAAATTAAATCTTTTATATTTATCTAAAATTAAACTAAATTGGAGTTAAAAGACATAAAGATTTGATGAAATAACAAAACAACAGTCAAAAGGAACACAAAAAAATCTGCCAGAGCAAAACAGCACCAAAACACCTTGACAGAGCAATGAACAGTACAGACTACAAAACAGCAGCAAGAAACTGAAAACTGCAGCCACCAAACAGCCTGAAAAATGCCAGTAAACCAGCAGAGGAGACCAATACCTTTTGTTTGCTTTCCTTCAGTGCCGATTCTTCACAAAGAATATGTTGCTTACTGCTTATTTAAAACATTGAACCTATCCTGCCATTCACTAGACCAATATCCTATCAACCAAACACAAAAACTACTGCTCTAAATATCAAAGAGACCTAACAAATTAAGGAGAAGGAATAATAAGTCAATCTTAACAAATGTTGGAACAACAATCACCACTAAATCATCACAGCAATCGTATTCTCAAACAGACAAACTCTTGAGCTTCAGCCAACTAAGTTATAGGATACCAAGGCTTTCAGTAGATCTAAGAATGAGATGAAATGAAAACATATCTCTCAAAATCATGAAGAAGAGGTGCCGATTTTGTTTGGTTTTTTTTCGTTGAGTCTTAAGGAAAAAAGTTAGGGATTTGGGATCTAGGGTTAAGCAAAAAATGATTTGGGATTATTTTTATTTGGTTTTTAAAAACCGGATCGGATACAGATATCCCGTTTTTTGCACAGCCGATCCGATATCCGATCCGGAAATCTGGATCTTCTAATATATCTGATCCGAATCCGATCCGAATTTTCGGATCTCCGGTTTTTCGGATCGGATCCAGACCTGATACCGAATATCGGATTATTTTGCACACCCCTATGAAATATATTTACTGCATTCATTCTGGTGTATTAATAATTGATAATATGATTAAAAGATTGAACATTTTTACCTTTGAATTAATGCATCTTTTTCCAAAGTTTCATGCTTTAGTTTATATAAAATCATGCATGTACTATAACTTCCTATTTGAGTTCTAATCTTTTGTGTTTCTTCATACATTTTGGTTCAACGTAAATTCTGGGGTTGACTGATACTTTAATTGGCTAATATACTATGTAGGTTATTGCTGTGCTGATTGGAGGAATGTCTATTTTAAAGGG